CACTTGGCCAAGGAGCTAGAGGAACCCGACGCCCCTCGCTACTGGCCCCAGGATCCAGATGCACAGTGTCACTTGGCCAAGGAGCTGGAACAATCCGACGCCCCTCGCTGCTGGCCTCAGGAGTCAGACACTCAGTGCCCCTTGGCCAAGGACCTGGAGGAACCCGACGCCCCTTGCTGCTGGCCTCAGGAGTCAGACACTCAGTGCCCCTTGGCCAAGGACCTGGAGGAACCCGACGCCCTTTGCTGTTGGGCCCAGGAGCCAGATGCACAGTGCCACTTGGCCAAGGAGCTAGAGGAACCCGACGCCCCTTGCTGCTGGCCCCAGGAGCCAGACGGACAGTGTCACTTGGCCAAGGAGCTGGAACAATCTGAAGCCCCTCGCTGCTGGCCTCAGGAGTCAGACGCTCAATGCCCCTTGGCCAAGGAGCTGGAGGAATCCGACGCCCCTTGCTCCTGGCCCCAAGAGCCCGACGTACCGAGCCTTTTGACTAAGGAGTGGGAGGAATCCAACTCACCGTGCCTCTTGGCAGAGGAACTGGAAGAGCCTGACGCCCTTCCCTGCTGGCCCCAGGAGCCCGATGCACCGTCCTTCTTGGTCGAGGAGTTGGAAGAGCCAGACGCCCCTTACTGCTGTTCTCAGGAGGTGAACACAGGGTGCCTCTTGGCCAAGGAGACAGAGGAGCCTGACGCTCCCCACCTGTGGCCGGGGAAACCCGATGTACCGTGCCTCTTGGTCAAGGATCCGGAGGAATCCGATGCACCTCGTTGCTGGCCCGAGGAGCCCGATGCACCCAGCTCACCGTGTTTCTGGGGCAATGAACCAGAGGAGTCCGACGCATCTCGTTGTTGGTCGGAGGAGCCCCAGGTGCTGTGCCTCTGGCCGGAGGAGCAGAACGCAACGCTGTGCTGGCAGGAGGAGCCGGATGCGCCCTGCTTCTGGCCGGAGGAGCGAGAGGAACCCAGAGTTCCATGTCTCCAGTTTAAAGAGCCAGAGAAGCCCAAAGTCCCGTGCAGCTGGCCGGGGGAGCTGGAAGACTGCCGCCCTACGCGGGGCTTACCCCTAGAGCCTTTGCCCTCCGAGGGCGAGCTGCTTCAGGCATGTCCCGGGCCACCCTCGGACCCAGGCCCGGCGTTGTCGCTGTCCAGCGAGCCCGGGACAGCCCAGGAGGAGGGTGCGCGCCTCAGGACGGTGTTCGACGCCCTGGACAGGGATGGGGATGGCTTCGTCCGCATCGAGGATTTTATCCAGTTCGCTACGGTCTACGGGGCGGAGCAGGTACGGTTCTGGTAGGGAGAGGTATTTTGCTAATTTCTATTTAGGGTAGTTTTCTGGAATTCTTCCCTTTTAGAGGAAGGTATATCCAGTAGTCAGGCGTCCCCTCCTATAGCGTTACTCTTGCTACTTATTTCCTAGAACCGGGTGTGGGAAACCGTCTTCAGTGCGTCGCTTCTGCCACCCTTGTTAGGACATCAGAGGCCAGACTTGTAGATGCCTCTTGAGTAGTTTACTGTGTATCCTGTTTGTTGTACTCGGGTTTGTTTGAGAGACAGTGCAATTAGAAGCCAGAAGGACTTAGGAATAAAAAATTGCTGGAGATGTAGATCAGTGGAAAAAGCATCTACTTCAAGCTCGGGGCCTGGAGCTCAGTCCTTTGAACCACCTAAAGGATTTCTGCTCTGCAGTAAAGTGACAAAATCAACACGCACAAAAATAAATCTTAAGCTGGGCGTGATGGTGCATGCTTGTCACCCCAGCATTTAGAAGGCTAAGACAGCATTGCTGCAAGCTGAAGACTAGCTTAGTCTGCATAGTGAGTTCAAGACTAAGTTGGTCTTCAGAGTAAGATCCTGTTTCAACACACACACATGCATGCCTGCACACACCAGAGTACACAAGAGTTAGTTCTGCACCATGATCAAGAAAAAGAGAGAAATGAGCCCAGGAGCTTCATGACAAGTGCCAGAGCTAGCAGAGCTCTCAGGGCCTCCTCTCTTACGGGAGTGGAGAGGGAGAGATGTGTGGAAAGGTGACAGGTGCAGTTCATGTGCAAAGGTCTCACACATTTACTGCCCGTTCTTGGGGGAAGCTGGTTCTGAGACCAAGCCCTGGCTGTCCCCTTCAGCACTTTGTGTTGGCTGAAGATGACAGCAGGGCTGTTTGCTCTGCTAGTAACCTAGAAGACATCAGCTAGGTTACATGTTCTCCTTTATTTTATTTATTGGTTGGAAGTCTCTGAAAAGACATCAGTTAGGTTATATGTTTCCTTTTATCTTACTTATTGGTTGGAAGTCTCTGAAATTTTCATCTGTTCATCTTCATGTTATTCATTTTTCACACATGCAAACATTTGTTAAGTGGGTGTTCAAGTACATTTGCATGTTTGAGCTTAAATTTATTTTTTTTTTTTTTTTTTGGTGTTTTGAGACAGGGTTTCTTGTAGAGCAGGCTGGCCTCAAACTCACAGAGATCCATCTGCCTCTGCCTCCCGAGTGCTGGGATTAAAGGTGTGCGCCACCACCACTTGGTGAGCTTAATGGTCTTTAAGAAAAACGCTAAAAATAAGCAGGGTGTGGTGGCACCCAGCATTCAGGAGGCTAAAGCAGGAGGATGTCAAAATTGAGGTCAACCTAGATACATAACAAGACTTTCTCCAAAAGCCTAGAGGAAGAAAAAAGCAAAATTGATAGATTTCTATTAGTCATAATGTTAAAACCTCTGTTTGCAACATCTTTGGAACAGTTGGAAAGCACTGGGCCCTGGTTAACTCAGCTGACACCTGGGCCAGCCAGCTTCTGCCAGGCTTCACCGGTGAGCGCTCCCGCTGGCCTTTATCCATGGAGCTGCTTGGTTCTTATAGTACTTTCCTTCTTCCTGGCCAGAAGTCTTTCCAGTGCTTGGCAGTTGTTTACTGGTGTGCTGTGTCTTTAAACATACTCTTGCCTCCAGAGCCAGCTTACCGAGCCAGGCCAGAGCTGCATTTGCTCTGTACCATGCCCTGACTCTGCTATTACGTTTTCATGGTATCATTGCTGTAGTCCTCTGAGGTGGTAATTAGGCAGGCCCTTTTCACCCTTCCTCCACAGGTTGGAAGCTGGGAAAGGCTGTGTAGCTTCCCCAGGCCTCACTACGACTGGACTGGAGAGTCTCTTTTTCAGCTCTTAACCCACAGACGACTCTAGATGTAATGGTTGGGGATATTTCTGCCGCATCTTAGTTTAGTGAATTACACACAGTTATTGTTGAGAAATGTCTTTGGTCATTACCTCTCCAACTTGAGTACTTTGGGGAAAACTTGGCTACACTTATTGCCCCTGGCCTTAAGCTTCTTCCTCAGAGGGCCTCACTGTGCAATTCTGGCTAGCCTGGAACTCACTATATAGATCAGGCTGACCTCAAACTCATAGAGGCCCTCCTGCCTCTGCCTCCAGAGGGAGTCACTACTCCCAGTACCACACAATCTTGAATACAGACTAGAAATGGGTCGCAATTCTCTGCTCGGACAGTTCCTGGTGGAATTTGCAGTTTGGGAAGCCCTGATGGCCAAGGATTTGCTGGCATAGAGAGTGGAGGAAATCTCCTAGGTCCTTTTGCTTTTTAGTAGCTCAAGAGGAAGAGATGTTGGTTGACTTAGCCTCCTGGGGTTGTTTTTTCGTTCTGTGAGTGGTCTTACTGTTTGCAGGAGATAATACAGAAAGGAATCTTTTTGTCAGTGTAAGATGAGGCCGGTAGCCCTCATGGCTCAGACATGCTGAATACATTATAGAGGAGCAAAGACAGGAATATTAACCAGTAGTGCAGAAGTTTAGAGAAACGAAGCATTCCCACAATATATATGTATTTTGAAATTTTTAAGATGAAAAAAATCTTGAATATACATAGTAGAGAGAGCTGGTGAGTGATGGCCCTAGAGCTCTCAAGTCCCAGTGGTTTCAGGAGCTAACTCATCTGTGAACATTTAAAGGATTTATTTTATTACTTTTTATGTGTCTGTGTGAGAATACTCGGCAGGGGCCTGCCTGCAAAGCTGGACCTACAGGAGGCTGTGAGCCGCTTGGCTTGGGTGCTGGAACGTGAACAGTCTCTAGAAAGGCAGCAAGCCCTCAATCACTGAGTCAGCTCTCCAGCCCCTCCACCTTTCAACGCAGATTGCTGACGCTTTGTAATTGTTATCTGTAAATGATTCTGTATTTATCTAAAAAATTGAGGTGGTTTTTTGGTGACACTGGGTCTCACTCTGTAGCCTTGACTGGCCGGTTAACTCAGGGTTTACTTATCTCTGCCTTCCAGGTGCTAGAATTAAAGGCGCACACCTCCTAGCCTAACCTAGGCCTAACTTAAACTAAGGTTTCTTTTTCTTTTTTACATTTATTTTGGGTGTGAATGAACAGGAATGCTTAGACTTGTGTGAGGGTCAGGGGACAGCTTTCAGGAGTTTGGTTAACTTCTGTATTTGTTGTCAGGCCTCAGGCTTGGCGGTAGGCACCCGACCTACTACTGAACTTTTTCACTACCCTCTGTGCTGTGGAGGGTAACCTTGAGCCCCTAATCTGCCTGCCTCCACCTCCCAAGTGCTGGGATTCTGAATGTTAACCACCGAACTGGGCTTCAGTGTCTTTTATGTAATATGTTTATGAAGATAGTGTTTTCAATTATTAAGCAGGTTGTCTGAATTTTTTATAGAGCACTCCCATTTATAATAGAGATGACTGTCATGTCCCTCTCTGTCATGGTCTGTGTGGATCTTATTACCTCACCTGGTGGCATATCAGGTGTGGTGTAAAACCATCCAGTGTCATTCTCAACAGTCTGAAGGTGGAAGAAGGGGGAAGGGGCATGGTAGAATGTCTAGTTTCATAGTGCACGCTCGCGCTCTCTCTCTCTCTCTCTCTCTCTCTCTCTCTCTCTTTCTCTTATTTATTTATTTAGGCTTTTTGAGACAGGGTTTCTCTCTGTAACAGCCCTGACGTCCTGGAACTCACCCTGTAGACCAGGCTAGCCTTGAATTTACAGAGATCCACCTGCCTATGCCTCCCAAGTGCTGAGATTAAAGGTGTGCACCACCACCACCCGGCTCTCAGCATTTACTTTTTTTTTTTTTCTTCTTGAGACAGGGTTTCTCTGTTTAACAGTCCTAGCTGTCCTAGAACTTGCTCTGTAGACCAGACTGGCCTCCAATTCACAGAGATTCACTTGCCCCTGCCTCCCAAGTGCTGGTATTAAAGGTGTGCGCCACCACACCTTCAACATTTACTTTTTAAGGGCCACTGATCCTTTCCAGAAAACACTACTGGTTGGAACCATGAGTACTCTGATTTTGGAAGTCATGGACTGCCCTCCATAGCACTTGCAGAGGATGCAGAAGTGAACTTATTTCTTCTGCACAGTGTTCCTGGTTCTTGTTCCTGCACTTTTGCCCTTGGGCATTTGGAAGTTCTTAGAGATAGTTGGTATTATGCTTAATTACTCCCCTGTTCTTTCTGGTCTCTGACCTAGCTTTGTGTTGGAATGAAAATGGGCATGTGTGATCTGACTTGGTGGCACATAACTTTAATCCTATATTTAGGAGACAGAGGCAGATGGATTTCTGTGAATTTGAGGCCAGCCTTGGCTATATAGCATGTTCTACGTCAGTCGGGCTACATAGTGAGATCCTGTCCCAGAAGGAAAGAAAGAAAGAAAATGGGCATGCATGAGCTTGGATATGTGTGGAAGTATTTGTGTGTTGGAGCGGGCTGTGTGTGTGAGTGACTGTGTACGAGAGTTTGCGGGAGTGTGTACTTCTGGATCCCTGTTGACTGAATTGCTAAAATCAGATGAAGTTCCTGTTTGTTCTTGGATAACAGATAGCTTTGTTAGCATCTAAAAAAAGAACTGTTTTGTATTCTAAAAGTAACACATGCTTATTATTAAACAAAGCACAGGAAAACAGTGGTGTAAAATATAAGACCATTTGGGCATGGTGGTTCAGAACTTTAATCTCAGCACTCAGGAGGCAGAGGCGAGCAGCTCTTGGTGAGTTGAGGCCAAACTGGTCTACATAGTAAGTTACATTCCAACAAGGGCTACATTGTATAAATAATTAAAATAAAAATAAAAATTGCAGAGTGGTGGTGTCACATGCTTTTAATCCCAGCACTTGGCAGGCAGAGGCAGGTGGATCTCCGAATTTGAGGCCAGCCTGGTCTACAGAGCAAGTTCCAGGACAGCCAGTGTATCTAGGGCGACACAGAGAAAGTGTCTCAAAAAAATCCAATAAATAAAAATTAAACAACAAA